TATGGGGAGTAGGGGGTGTGACAGAGAACAGCTGGCTGGGGTTGTTCACTCCCTCCTTGACATGAGACACCATGACCAAAAGGACGCTGGGGAGGAAAGGGTTTATTCGGTTTACACTTCCACATTGCTGTTCATCATCGAAGGAAGTCAGGGCAGGAACTAGGTACTCAGTCCTGGGTCTGGCTGAGCTGGGTACTCAGTCCTGGGTCTGGATAAACTAGGTACTCAGTCCTGGGTCCGGCTGACCTGGGTACTCAGTCCTGAGTCCAGCTGAGCTAGGTACTCAGTCCTGGGTCCGGCTGAGCTGGGTACTCAGTCCTGGGTCCGGCTGGGCTGGGTGGTCACGGGTGATACATTCAGCTGCTCATTGATGATGGGCACTTACAGCAGGCGAGCTTTACATAGACTCGCTGTCCTGCGCATTGTCAGAGTCCTGCGCCTTTCTGAAGAGAAGGCCTGCCTTTTGTCTGCTTCTTTACAGTAACAAGAGGAAGAGCCCTCTCCTCCAGCCCCTTGGGATTTCAAGTAATTAAATTTTGAAGGGGAAAAAAATTAAGGGAAAAGGACTTTCTTACTTACTGCTTAGCTTTGCATTGCCGTGGCATTGTTTGCTGTTTGCAATACCTTTGATGAAGGCTCAGGTCTAAAATTGCTTTCTCGAGATCTAACCGAGCTTCCAAATGACATCTGTGCACATAGACTCCTGGGTGGGGCTTATAATCCACTCAAGTCAAAGATGTGCCCATCACAGGCTCCTTGTAAAAGTGAGCCCGTTGGATGGCCCATTTGTGCTGCCCCTTGCAGGAAGATGGAAGCAGTGTCCTCAGCCACGTGAAGAGCCATTAGTCTAGGAGGACAGGCTTTTCCTGCCCCTTAAGTGGGCACCTGCGAGCTCCACATAAGCACTTGGTTTTCCTGTCCACTAAAAGGTTTCCAAAAGAGCATTGTCATCCCATTACAGGGCAGTGCCCGCAGTAGACACCCTGAAAGGACAGGTGCAGGGGAAGGAGAGATGTTTTGTATATGCAGGCATGTTTCCAGGCTTTGGGGAAAGTGGGGAAGGATACAGCCATGAGTGGAGGATGTGTAGGAGGCCGAGGGGAAAGACTTTTGAAAGAGCTGGGAGAGACAGAACAGAGGATACAGGCGGCAGGAGACAGTAAGCTGTGAATATAGATCACACTTAGGAAAGGTCAGTCCTAAGAAAGCCAACGGTGAATTCAGCTTGAAGAGCAGGCCGGGTCAGACAGAGTCTATTTACATGCCCCGGAAGGGAGAAAGTTCCAAAGCTTAAGTGGTGATTGGAAGAGGGCAGCAGTGGAGGAGAAGGTAGGGATCAACACCAGGACCCGGTGATTCTTCTTGCCACCGGGCTGCAGAGGTCAAGTGGGCTTGGAGAAGGTCTTTTGCGAACTCTAAATAGATGGCCTCTGGAAAAATGGGTCAGATACAAAAGGAAGTGGGGGTGCCGGTGTGGGATGATGGGAAACAGAGAATGTGAACCAGTTGGAAGCAGTTACTCTAGAATCAACTTGGACGGTGCTAGGTAGGGGTGGGTGTAAGGAGACATTCAGGAAAGACATGGGGAAAGAAATGCAAGGAATGCACATGGAGACAGCCTCACTGCAGTTTCAGGGCCCGGATAAGCTCAGGGGCTGCTCATTTGTGATGAAGTGACTGTCATTCCCTGGGTGTCCGGCTGCTGGAGAAAAGAAGCCAATGGATTGAGATTAGAATTAAAGGGTCCCAGGAATTCGTGACAGTCACAGGACTGACCAGGAATCCTGAACTGGACAAAAAAAGAGCAAGGGAAGCTGACCGCTAAAGACACACAAAGGATTGAATGTCTGAGAGCTTCAAAGTGGCAGATTGCCTAGACGAGTATCCAGAAAATGCACCAAGTCTGCACGTCTATTAGCTCCACGCCCCTGGAAACATAAAATGGTTCTTCATAGATGCTTAGACCCAAGAAAGGAGGAAAATAACCCCCAGCATAGACTTAATGCAGAGCGTTTTGCTGGTGTTTGTGAAGTAAGGAGTCTGTGGCTTTTCCTAATCTAGCAAAGTGGCCTTGAAAAGAAGCCTGGACCACTCCTCCCTCCCTCCCTCCCTCCCTCCGTCCCTCCCTCCGTGTGCGTGTGTGTGTGTGTGTGTGTGTGTGTGTGTGTGTGTTAGTTTTTATTGTATGTGCTTTACTTGCATGTATGTCTCTGTACCTTGTGTGTGCATGGTGCCCTCAGAGGCCAGAAGAGGTTGTCAGGTCCCCTGGAACTGGAGTTATGCCCCATTGTGAGCTACCAGATAGGTGCTGAGAATGAACCCAGGTTCTCTGAAGGAGCAGCCAATGCTCCTAACCACTGAGCCATCTCTCCAGCCCTGACTACTTTTAATGACAGTTTCCAGAATGCTCACACGGTGGATCAGGTTTTAGTGTAGGCTCAGTTACTGGTAGAGGAGCAGTGCGAGTATTTTAAGGTTGAAATTGCCTTTTTACAGGGTGGTTTCTTGCCCTTTTTTTTAGACAGCTTAAAATACCGTCATTGTAACATCAGAACCACGGCAACTTAAATCATGGTTCTCAGTGTCTTCACTTTTCATAACACCTCAGAAGCACGCTTCGGTCCTGGAGCCACGTGACATGGGGTGGCAGGCCAACCCTAGGCAATGGCGGTATGGAGCAGGAAAGGGGGTGGGGGAGTTGAAATGTCACACAGCAGGAGCACATGACGGTCTGAAGGGAGGAGCATCTGTCCACCTGCCTGAGTGACAGCGAAGAGCTGGAGGGAGGGGAAGCCGAGCGGGCGGGGACAGACAGTTCACGCAGTTGTGCGTGGCTGGAGGAAGCACCAGGCTTGCAGATGTTTCCACGGGTGTGACACAACTCCTCCTGTGTTCCTCAGACGCCGTCGCTTCTCAGGTGTTTCCCCCTCTGTGCTCACCGTCCTGCCACACAGTTAGGCTCCACTAGTGACTCCCAGCCACTGCATACAGCGTGGCTTTACACAAAACTGTCCCCTCTGATCAATTTGAAATCTGCAGAGCATCTTCCATGATTCCTAAACTGCCGGATTTATTCCATGCCTCAGCAGTATTTCTTCCCACAGTCAGAAACAAACGTTTTTGTATCGACAAGTTAAAAAAGTTTTTTAAACCTGATGAGTACTTGCCCCTTTCCTGGCTGCTCTCTGTTGCTGTGCTCAAGACCCCATGACCGAAAGCAGCTTGGGAGTGGAAGGGTTTATCTGGCCTCCACCGAGTTGATCACCGAGGGCAGCCAGCATGGGAGCTCAGGACAGGAGCAAAGCAGAACCATGGAGGAGGGCCGCTTACCAGCTTGCTCCATGTGGCTCCTCGTGGCTCGCTCAGCCTTTCTTACACCATCCAGGACTACCTGCCCTGCAGTGGCATCCCCCACAGTGAGCTGGGCCCTCCCACAGAATTGCTAATCAAGAAAATGCCCTATAGACTTGCCTGAGGGCAGTCTGGTGGAGGCGGGGCTTTGTTTTGTTTTGTTTATTTTTTTCAACAGAGGTTCCTCTTCCCAGATGACCCTAACTTATGTCAAATTCTCTGTCTCTGTCTCTGTCTCTGTCTCTCTCTCTCTGTCTCTGTCTCTCTCTCTCTCTCTCTCTCTCTCTCTCACTCACACACACACACACACACACACACACACACACACACACACACACACACACACGCACAGAGTCCAACCAGGATGCCACTACCATGTAATACCTGTCCCCAAAGCGCCATCCTGCCCACTCCCCTCTCTCTGCTCCCTCTGTTTCCAAGGACTTTGGGGCAGCATTCTGTTGCAGAGCTGTACCCCAAAAAGCTTCTGATGTAGTAACTCTAAAATAAAAGCGCATAGGTTATCTGGTTCTCAGCCTTCCTAGTGCAGCGACCCTTGAGTACAGTTCCTCATGTTGTGCTGATCTCCAACCGTAAAATGATTTCTGTGCTACTTCATAACTGTAATTGTTATGAACATAACTCTCACCGTGATGTAAGTATCTGATATGCAGCCCCCAAAGAGATGAGAACCACAGGTTGAGAACCACTAGACGCTCAGTGTCCCCCAGGGTGACCAAGGTCAGCAGGATTTTTCCAGCCCAGCTGAGCCAGGCTTCTTCCCAGTGTCAGTCGGGGTAAAAAGACCATGTTTGCTCACAGAAAAAGCTATTTACAGCATTTCTGTTTATCTGCTGCCTGGAGCTTATCACTTCGTCTGTGGCTTATCGCTTGAGTAGCATTTAATGTTCCCTTCCTTATCCCTTTCTTTTAATCCTTTATCCCAAAAGTAATGAATATGGAAATGTTGACTGAATTTGCCCTAGATGGACCAGATTTAGAAAAGGTTTATGAGACTTAATTACCAACACTGAGAAAATGGCTTTGTTTAGCCAGGAATAATAGGATTCCATGATGTCCCTGTCAGCTCTCTAAGCTAATCCTTTTTGTTCTCACTAACATTTGTTCAATCATTGAACATAGAAAAATGAAGACATATTGAGTGTCTTGACCTTTCGAGAGGAAGTTGAACGTGAAATTTGTCTTCATGACAAGAAGTCTCCTTAGATTAAATTGATTGGCAGAGTCTGGCTTTCCAGGGCCAAGTGGGTGAGCAGCAGAGGACTGAATGCCCCTTCTCTTTTGTGGCTCCATGAAGGCCCTGAGATGGGCACTATGGACACAGTGGATGATTAAAAACGGGCTAAGAGAAGGTGAGCAGCCTTCCCAAGAGCACCTCGCTAGTGATGGGTGGAGAGGCCAGACTCCCCTCCCAGCTTCCAGATCCATGCTCCCTGTGCTCACCTATCTCTGTGAAATGAAAATGTGTCTCACTCTTGCGGGATCCATTTGGCAGATTGTAGTAGATTTTCACAATACTGCTGTACACGTTCAACAGAGGATTCAATAATTGTTTTCTCTTTCACCTTTAAAATCCTGCATGTTTTCCACATCATGCTGTAACTAAGGCTTCTTCTTTTCTGTTATAGGTTTTCTACCCTAGCAAGGATGGCACAAAGATTCCAATGTTTATTGTGCATAAAAAAGGCATAAAGTTGGATGGCTCACATCCTGCTTTCTTATATGGCTATGGTGGCTTCAACATCTCCATCACACCCAACTACAGGTGAGCACGGCCCTCACGGCATGTACGATCTTCTGCACACAGTGGGGGCTGCTAGATCACTCGGTTCTTGCTTGTTTCGTAGAGGGGCAGAGAACTTTTAAATAACTTACTGAATTTTTGCTTAGGAGCCATAGGACCTTTACAAGCCAATCATTAGTATTACTGTTGTTGTTATTGGATGCCCTCATTAGGATAGATTGTTCAAGAAGTAGCTGTGGAGTCTACAGCTGCCTGGCTGTGAAAGATTACCATCACTTGGGGTCTTGAGAAGACATCCTGCCCCCGGGGCATGCTGCTGGCTAGCATGTCACCACCCTCTGCTTCTCTTCAGAGGAATGCCTTCCTAGCTAATGATTACATTTTCTCAGCAGAGGCCTAAAATACATTGTGTTGATATTTAGCCATAAATACATTTTATGAGTACTCTAATGGCTCATCCATTTCAAACGATCTGTGATTATTTCCCAGCTAACAAATGCTTATATCTACATATGCCCATTGCTATTATTTGTTTAAATAGCTTCTGTCAGGGTTTTTTGTTGTTGTTTTGTTTTGTTTTTGCAACTTCAGTATATCATTCCTAGTATGAAATGGAATTTGCTTTGAGTATTTTTAAGAAAAGAAGTTCACACTTGAAGCAGCAGTGTAAATAGTGCCTCATTTGAAATCTGGTTCCCAGATTCACCCAGGATCCTTTCTATTTGTGAGGAGATTTGTGGCCTGATGATGACTGGGACACACTAATTCCTACCCATCAGCCATCTGTCCTAAACGTGATATACGAAAGCTGTTGCCTTGGTTTGGACATTCAGTAACTGAAGCTGCTCATTATTTTAGATTTAATGAAGTTGAAAGATGGCCTGTGCCCTCAGAATCCTTAAATGAGACTGGACTACACTGAGGAGTTGGCTGTTTGCTTTGGTTGGCAGAACAAGGGACTCTTGTGTAAAATCATGATACAGAGCGGTATTCACGATGTGGGTTCCAGTGGAGTGTCACAGTGGTGGCGCTCCCGAGGGCACAGCCTAAAGTCAGGCTGAAAGGTGGCAGTCTCACTGCTGGGGACCCTTTGGGCTGCCATCTCCTATCTCAGCCATAGCTCAGCGGTTCAGGCACAGGCCACGTTGATTCTGAGACAGTTATCTGGAAACTCAAAGCTAGTTACTATCTATTAGATTAGCCTAAATATGGCATTGTTTGCCACTCTTTATATATAGTTTCCAGTGAGTGCTGTTTATATCAGGGATGGTGACACATGATTGGTCCAGGGAATAACAGGGCACACACACACCGTTCCACATTCCCTTCATTCCAGTGGTCCCTGAGTGGATCTACTATGTTCAAAACTAATGGTCTGTCATTTGTACAGTGAGTTCTTTTTAGACCTCTAGGAATCTGGAGAGAATCCTCAGATCATTTCATCCCTGTAGTGGATGTCATAGTTTCAAGAGAGACCATCAGAGATGCCTGAAAACATATGGGACCAAGTCCTTAGTCATTATGGCTAATTGGTCATGGCTCGTCTCATTGTTCTACCTCACTCTGACTCCCTTTCATCTCTTCAGTGACCCCACCCTCACCTCTCACAAAAGGAAGAAGGATAGCATCAGAAATAGTGTTCAAAGCAAAATAATTTTAACAGAAAGATACCACTGCACACTTTTAGGGTCAGTAAAAAGAAAACAGGAAACAAAACCCAGGGTCTCCAAGAGGCATGGTATTTTTTTTTTCTGGGCACTCTGTGCTATAGTGTCTTTTATTTCTAGAACATCTAGCCTCTAGGTTCATTCCTTCCTGCCTGTGATCTCCCATTCTTCACATCCTGGATTGTCTAATTACCATCTAAATTTCCTAAGAAGCGGAGAGGTGTAGTTCAAGTCGCTCCTTGAGCTTTATCCAAGTCAAGCAGTTTAGACAGGGTGTTCCCTGTGGGTGGGTTGACTGTCAGGAGGGCCTGGGATCCCAGCACCACCCCCGCCTGGCCCGATGCTTCAGTTTGCCCTGATAGTTGTTACAAAGGTAGATCAGTGTGAAATGGGGGCCTCTGGTTATTTCTGTATAACGTCGGCATTATGAATTGCACAGTGGATTTTTACCCATGCAGAAAAGTGAAATGTACAGTTTATGAACATGTATGAGCTTTGCAGGCGAACAGTAATCAAAAGTTATACGTTTGTTTTCATTTTAATCAAGTAATATAAAAATGTTGGGCTTCTATTTGGATGCTGTGCTGCATGGGTCGTTCTTAGAATACGGTTTTGCTTTGAGGCGGAGGGAGGAGTCATGCAGGTCGGTTACCGGAAGATTAAACTTGTCGTCACTGTTTCTCAGCGTTTCTAGGCTCATTTTTGTGAGACACATGGGCGGCGTCCTCGCAGTGGCTAACATCAGAGGTGGCGGTGAATATGGAGAAACGTGGCATAAAGGTGGGGTGTTTTCTCTGCAGAACCAAGAGTCTGGCCTGACCCCAGCTCGGGTCATGCTGATCTTCCTGTCTGAAAGAGCTGGGGCAGAGAGAGCGGAGAGCTTTCTGGCAGAAGCAGAGCCCTTTCAGACTCACTGACCGCACCACTCCCAGGGCCTCTGGTTATTTCTGTATTTCTTCATACGTTGTTTTCCTTTGTCGTCTAGGGCAGTGAAGCACCATTTTTTCAGACATAATGGAATGTTTGGTTTCTTCAGCAACACCTGAGGAGCTAGAGGAGTAGCCTGTGGGGTTCTGGTGTCTAGTTCGCCTCCTGACGGCCCTGCTTTTCAGTTTGGCATTCTCTGGCTATCTCAGAAGAGGTGTCAAAGCAGGCCAGTTTCTGCTAAGAGACAGAAACAATCCCGTGACTTCCCTGCTCCCAGTGTGCGCCCATCCTGGCTGCCAGCGTTTGGAGACCGCATGCCCCACCTAGCACTGTGCTGGGAAGGCTGAGTAACTTTTAGATACCAGAATTTGGCCCCTTTTCTTTCCTGATTTTTCTGTGTCTGTTTCCTGGCCTCGTGGAGCACATATAAGAGTTCCAGTTTCATTCCCAGGCTTGGATCTTGGTTGATAGTCATTCGCTTGAGGCCCGTCTCTTCGTTCTTTCTCTCTGGAGCCTCCCACACCTTGTCCAGACCGTCCTGCAGCCAGAATTGTTCTTCTCTTGCTCTGGTCTGTTTCCCTGTGGAGGAGAACATAGACAGTTCCCCCTCCAGCCCACACTTCCCAAACCCTGCCATCATTTACAACATGGCCTCCTAACCCTAACCCCTGAGGAGGAGGAGGAGTGGTCGTTAGTGCCAGGAATTGTCATCAGCACCAGCCGACAGGCCTCTCCTCTCACTGCAGGAACATCTGAGATCATTCTCCACCCTCTGGTTTCTCACATCAGTTCAGCAACAACAATGAACCTATTAAAAAGGTTGTTCTAAGTGCTTAGTAGGTAAGGTACTGAGATGCTGACCCTGGTGTCCAGCACATCTTCATGGGGCTCCCTGACATCATCCAGACTGCAGGAGCATCACAGCAGAACTGAGCGCTCCTACCATACCAAGTTGTCATCCTGAAACAACATAAAAGTGACTGTGTGATTTTTGACGGATCTCAGTTACACTAAATACATACCGTGATAGGAAAAGATGGTTGAAACAAGGAAAAGAAAATGTGTACATAGCATAAATTTGACTTGTAGGCTAAGGCTAGCTCCTTTCCACTCACCCAATTTTGTGTGTACACATACATATCCTGGCCATGGACTGTGATCCTGATTCTCCCTCTGGATGATTGGACCATGTGGTGTAAGAGGGAGGATGCCTTGGTCCTGGTCTGCTTCTACACTCATTCATTAATGAGACCAACCATTGTCCAAAGCCTTGGGATAGGCAGGTCGGAGCTTGACTAAAGCTAAGTTACTTTTTGACTGCTTCAAAGGTAATGAAAGGACCGGAAGGGGACCTGTTCCGGTTAGAGCTGGTGTGCAGAACATCGGTGTCTAATTCTCATTCTGTTCAGTGAGCTTCCAACGTAATGCACTTTTAAAAATAGACATATACACCAAATGGTATTGTTCCTGGAAACTAAGTAATCCTAGCTGTTTTAATTCACCAGTAATTGCTTATTAAAATCTTAATAACATTTGTTTTGATGTGAAAAAATTCTTTTAGTAGCACTGCTTCATGTTTAATTGAATTTCTGCACAAGTGGTTAATCTTGAATATCTAATTAGATCTGAGTCTGTTCTTTGTTCATTCTGAGGCAGTTACTTCAGACATCTGCTCCTTTGAGGCCTTCACTTCCACCCTCCCTCTGAGTGGTTTCTTTGGTGTCATACATGGGAAGGGGCTACCTCTGGGTGATAGGTGATGATGATCAGATGAGTCCCTGGGGAGACATGGGACAGTCAGAAGAAGCTCCCAGTCTGCCCTGCAGCAGTACCACCTGACCCCAGCTTTCCCTTTAAATCAGCGACTGAGCGCTGTGGGCCGCTTTTCTATAAAACTGCACAGAGGAAGGTGAGGTCTCCAGGGCAGGAAGCATGCACAGTCCTTGCTCTGGCGGTGTGCACTGGCTGGAGCTCGGAGGGCTGGTGGCCACCGGAGTCCTTAGTCCATTTCTCATGCAGCTTCTCAGAGCAGCGATTCTTTTTATGTCCTGTTTCTCTCACAGAACAGATCATCTTTTTCTCTTTGGGGCTCTTACCTTAGAAGTTGTACTAATTTACCATATGAGTTTGCATTTGTGGTGCTGGTGAGATTTCCATAGTCCATAAAACTTACATTGAGTCATTTCGGTCAGTGTGGCTTAAGCAGCCTTTGTTGACATTGATCAGCAGTGGAAACCTCCCTGTAGCTCGGACTTGCTCTTTATGCTGTTTTTAATTGTCTTTCACTTTACAGGTGGTATCTTGGCCAACAAACAAAACTGCTTTGATGACTTCCAGTGTGCTGCTGAGTATCTCATCAAAGAAGGCTACACATCCCCCAAGAGGCTTACCATCAACGGAGGCTCCAATGGAGGCCTCTTAGTAGGTGAGAGCTGCATTTATTCATCCGGTCACTAGCTGACCCACTCAGGGTTTTCACACAGCTCCATTTTACTCTGAGGCTCACAGGTGGGAGTCATGCAGAGAGAGCAAAACTCAGTTGCATTTGAGCCTCTGAACCTACATCATGCTGAGCAAACTCAGCCTGCCCTGGCTGCTTTGCTCTCTACGAACTAAAGCCACAGCTTGGCAGCCCTCGGCCACCACCGGACTGAGCCTGACCACCCCTGATGGTGTCATTCAGACCTAGTAAGATGTGAGCCCTGTGGAACATGTGTCCTAACCTGTGCTGTGTGGTGCTAAACGTTGTGGGCATAGAGAGGGGTGCACAAGAGGAATCCGATCTGCATTTCGTAGTAATGCAGAAGGGAAGGGAGTGGTTGGTATGAATGCTTCCCACTTGCTGGGCACCTTGGGAGGTAGATGGACTGTTACTGTCCAGACCTTAAAGAGCACTGAGGATTGGATAGCTCCTCCTGTCACGTTACAGGGAATAGTGATCCTGGGTTAAGCCTGTCTCTTTGCTAATGTTGCCTGTTAGTGAGATTTTACTCTTCGCTCCCTCAGTGGCTCCTGGCATGCTCATGTCCATGTACATGGCAGGCTAAGTCCTTCCTCATCTAGTGTCCTAAAGATTGGTTCCTGGTACATGTGTAAACAGCATAAATACACAACAGTTTTCACAGTCCACTATTCCTGGGAGTTCAGAGGTGACTGTTCATTACCTTTGAAACATGTGGAGCATGTCAAAACATGGATTTCTGTGCTTAACCTTTTCCCCATAGAACATGGTCTTTAGCCAGATGCTTTGTAGGCCACTGATAGTAAGTGCTTGCCTGACATGCCTGAGTCCTGCTAAATACGTGTGAAGCTAGCTCATGAAGGTAAAACTACAGTTGTCCAAAGTTACTTGTTTAAATTTGGAAAGGGTGGGGCTGAGAGAGATGACTCGGCTGTTAAGAGTACTTCCTGATCTTCTCGAGGGCCCAGGTTGGATTCTCAGGACTCACGTTGGGCAGCTTACAAATTTTATTAGACTTCAAGAAATGCCAAGCGTGTCTTCAGGGCTTAGGCATAGATGGGTCAGCAAAGCAGATGTCTCTACCTTCACGGAGCTTTGCTTCTGTTCAGATGAGTCAGACATAAACCAAGGCCCTCAGGCTAGCACAGAGCCTCATGTCCTCATGGAGCCTGGTAGGTGTCCCAAGGCCAAACAAGAAAGGACAACCTTTGAATGCAGCCTGCGTGCTCACTCTACTCTGGAAACAGGAAGCTTTGGGAGTCCTGAGCAAATGGGCAGCTGAGAGGCCTCTCTGGCTTGGACCAAGCTCTGGCTTTGGAAGTAATAAATAGTCAGAGTCCGGATATATTCTGAACTACAAGTAAGTGGTTCAGCAGAACTATGAGGGAGTCCAAGGCTTGCTGGGAAATCTGTGTCATACTCTACTGGTTCCCCCACTCTGCTGTGGGTTCGGTTTATCCCTCTAAGCCTTTGAGAAACAAACCCACAAAGACAGCTGCATCAAAATGCTGGAATGCTCCTTCTAGGCCTGCACATTCCTAACCCTCCAAGAGAATCTGGTTCTGAGGGAGGGGTTCGGACTTCTGTGCTATTTATTAACGTGTGATGGAATCAGTAGTAGTCTAGATCTTTTGACTGACCCCTAGTCATGCAGCTTTGATGGGCTTCTGACCCGCCTCCTTGGCTGTCTTTTAGGGGACTAGGGCACCTACTCCACTCTCCACTCCATGGCATCTGACCCTCTTTAGCAGCAGTGATAATCGTGCTTTGTTTTAATGGCTCATTCAGTTCTCTTGCCCAGCAAATTTGGTTTTATTTACTGGGAAAATTACTTAGCAAATATTCAGTAGATTATCTGTTAAAAAGCAACAACAGACATGTAAAAACAGGATAGTCTATGCCAGCGCTGGCTAGAGCTGCATTTCAGCCTGTCTTCTGCGCTGAACTGGTTCTGAGAGCTGAACAAGTTCATTCGAATCTCCATCGCTTGTGAAAGCAAGTTGGCTAGGAGAAGGGTATCAAACCTAACAGGTCATCCCCCACCGATGTTCACAATGGGGGATAAATGTTCTGTTACTGGTGAGACCCCTGCCTTCTCCCTTGGGCTGGTTGGAAACTCGTGCCTGAATCATTTCTGAAAATTGCCTGTGTTCAAGGCTGAAACAACCAGCATCCTGAAGATATAAAGTACTGGGTTCATCTCGATGTTTAATTATAAACCTTCCCTTTTTTCTCTCTTGGTTTTTAGCTGCTTGTGCGAATCAGCGTCCAGACCTCTTCGGTTGTGTTATTGCCCAGGTTGGAGTGATGGACATGTTAAAGTTCCATAAGTTTACCATTGGCCATGCCTGGACCACCGACTATGGGTGCTCGGACAGCAAACAACACTTTGAATGGCTTCTCAAGTATGTTTTCCTTAATGTTTACCTATATGCTATTCAGAATCTGATATCTTAATAGTGACCATTGTCAACAGGATTAGCTTTTGGTGTTTCGGCTGCATATAATCAGCAGAATCACAGAGATGGTAGCACCCTCCTGCCTTCCTTGGGTTATGTTTATCTGCGGTGCTGGGGATTGAATCCACGACCTTGCTCATGCTAGACAAGTGCTCTACCACAGCCAAAACCCCGAGATGTACTGCTTTCCATCAAGATGGCTGTCTAGGATTCCTGTCAGACACTAATGTAGGTCATGCTGTGGAGGGACTTTTCAGGTGGTAAAAGGGTCCTCTGGAACCTGAGACCCACTATGAATCGTAACCATGAAGAAATGGAGACCTCAGCCCCGTAGCTATGGGAGGCTGAATTCTGCTCAGAACCGGAGGGAAGTGCTGACCGCTCACACCTTGACGGCCTTGAGACACTTGGAGCAGGGAGCTGACCGAGGCAGCCCAAACTTCCATGGCACGAGAGTGACCCGAGTCTGTGGCTCTGTGCCAGTAGTCCTTTGTTACTGCAGGAACCAGGAAGTCAGGTAAAATGGTATAAAGCTGTGCTTCAGTAGAGACAGTTGCCTTTCTTAAAAGGGAACACAGAACACAGTTAAAACATTTTTGTGATCAGTGTACCCACAAATATTTGAAATTAGATTCGTTAGTTTATACACTTCTTTTATTCATAACCCCCGACAGCTTTAGGGATAGCAGTGAGTAATGAGACATTTTCCTTCTCTTTGGCTCTTCACATCCCACATGTAGTATTTGCAGATTATTTATCAGCTGTATTTAGGAATTCCCTCGGGCTGATACAAGAAACTCGTTTCCCATTGCAGTCTTCTCAGAAAAATTATAAATTGGATTCAAAACATTTTTTAATTTGTCATTTTTGGTTTTTGTAGCTAACTTCCCTCCGAACTTCATCTAAAGTGTCTAATTAAGTGTTTTGAAACAGCTACATTTTATTGTCAGAGGGAAAAAGCTAACTGAATACTGTGGTTACTCACTGGTATAACTGTATCCAAAGAAGTCATAATTGAGATTAACTGGATGTGCACCTGGAGGCCAAGACCTTCAAAATTTATGAAGTTTGAATTGTGCATCAAAGACATCACATGTGGTGCTTCCTAAATAGTTATAAAGGGAGGAAAGGCACTTTCCACTTCAGATTCCCGTGTTCTGATGTTGCTCATTCAGGACTGAGCCAGCCTTTGACCTGTGAGTGAGCTCAACCCTGCACGTCAGCTGGAGAGGGTCGTGCAGGGACTCGTGGGTGTGTCCCTGTAGCATCCCAGGATTGTTCTCCCCACAAACGTCTTTGAATTTTAACAGGCAGGGTTTCCACACTGCTGAGAACTGACCTAGGGTAGTTAGCCAGATCCGCTGCTGCCCAACACCATACAGTGGGAAACAGCCTCAGCCTGCTTGGATTTCACGGGGTAAACTGAGCAGAATTGATGCTGTTTTCATACTTCCCACTCTGAGTCTGTGCTGAAACCAATTATTATATCCATTAGTGCAGCACTCTGAAATTAATGGGCAAATGAAAAGAAAAGATACCCAGATGTTCCTCTCATTAATGTTGTCAGTCATTCTTTAACTCAGTTCTTTTCTTCTTAAAATCCGCCTTAATCAACTCACCAGTTAAACTTACCTTCTGCTTCAAAAGTGTCTCCCACTGCTTTCTCTCAGTCGGGGCTGGACTGAGAACCATGCCTCCTCAGTGTGCAGATTAGCAGCCAATCCCAGAGGACAGGCATGTCCTTCCTAAAGCAGCTGCGTTTAGCCTGAGATACCAGTGTGAGCGCTGTTAAAGGACAGACATAAGTCCTTCAAGCAGAGATAAACGGCTGTGTATAGATAATAGAGGAACGTTAAACTCAAAGCAGGTCAGTTATTGCAGCAGCCCTGCGACTTCCTGTCTTATATAGCCTTCAAGGTTAACGACCCAGCTCCCCAGTTTCCAGTAGCCCTCGTCTGTCATGGCCTAACCCATGGCAGCACAGGCTGCTGTGGCCCTCACCTGCTGTTAGCGACAGTTCTCCTCGGTAGTGGTCAGGCCGGTAAAGCACGTGGGTCCCGGAACAGCTCTGCCCTTGGTTTCATACCGTCCTCACGGAAGTGCCTCTCTGCCTCGTAGATACTCACCGCTGCACAACGTGAAGCTTCCAGAGGCAGATGACATCCAGTACCCTTCCATGCTTCTCCTCACTGCTGACCATGACGACCGAGTGGTCCCGCTGCACTCCCTGAAGTTCATCGCCACGCTTCAATACATTGTGGGCCGCAGCCGGAAGCAGAGCAACCCCTTGCTCATCCACGTGGACACCAAGGCTGGCCACGGGGCCGGGAAACCCACCGCCAAAGTGATAGAAGAAGTTTCAGATATGTTTGCGTTCATAGCTCGGTGCCTGAACATCGAGTGGATTCAGTAAATGGGATTTCCACCTCCTCCCAACAGTCACAGAAAACCTCAAGGGCTGTCACACCATCTTCACCAAGAAACCACTGGGCAGGGTGCTGCCCGCGTGAGCACCGTGCCTCGGCTCACAGACAGCAACCGAGCAGAACTGCCGTGGGGATTTTATCTTTTCTAGGCTTCTCCTTTGTAGCAAGCCCTTGATGTTTTGTTTTTATTTTTTTCCCTCTCTATCAAGGCACATATTTTAAAAGGGGGCAAAGGGGGCATGTGTGGATAAGAAACTAAATGACAGTGAACATGATGTGAATAATACTAGATCCTTGGATTGAGGAAGGGTCATAGTTGGGCATACTCATATATAATAACTCAATGAAGTTGCTTCTCTAACCATAACATATACCCTTAAATACATGGGAGACCTCAAGGGAGACTCCACTGCATACTAATAAATGCTATTTAAGAGTGGAGGCTTTAGTTTTGGTTCCTTTGCAACGAGAGGCAGCCCTCAAAATGCAGATGACTGTCAGAATGAAGACTGTAGCCTTTATGCAACAGGTTAGGTCCCAAACAATTAGAATATTGGGACCACCAAAGGGAGGCTGATCCATCCGCCTCATCTCACTTTGAGGGATGCGACTGTGGGAGACGGTTCGTCTTCTCCACTGTTTCCTACTCAGGTAAAGATCTGATTGAGATCTGTTGGTTTGAATGCTTGTTTTTAAAAATCCCTGGAATGGGGTTGGGTAGATAGCTCTGTAGACAAGGGTGCTTGCTCTGAAAGCCTGAGGACCTGCTGAGTTTGAATAACAGCACCATATATAACGCCGGGCAAGGCTACATGTGCCTGTAACCCCAGCAGTGGGGGCAGCAATAGGCAGGTCCTGAACACCCAGCGGCCGACCAAGTTAGCCAAATGGTGAGCTTCCGGTTCATGGAGAAACTGTGTGGTGACAGACAGGAAGGAATCGGTCATCCTCAGGCCTCCGAGTGCACGTGCATAGATGGGCACACCTGCACACTCACACGCTTGCACCACACACAAAGACCACATAAACACACAAAATCTGTGGACTGCAAAATTAAGATTATTTACCTGTTTGCCCATGTGTTGGCTTGGTTACAGAGTATTTGTGGATATAAGACAACACATCGCCCAAATAGAGTCACTCACCCAGTGTCCCCCTGACCTGGAACCTACGACATTTCCCAAGCGCCTTCTCCCCCGCAGACTACTTTTCAGATGCAGTTACACTGTAAAGAGGAGATGTTTCCAGTCGCTCTGCCCCACTCCATACAGAGTCCTCAAACTTAGGCTTTGGGAAGAATATTCTGGGTGTGTTTTAACATCTCACAAAGTACTGTTCCTTGTCTTTGAGTTTGGGAATGCTGATCGGGTTTATAAGAAAGAGGGTCTTTGTGTTACTTTATCAAATGTGATTAAAAGAGAGATCTTAACTTTACACAAAGTCACCCCGACACCAGTCGTCCCGGTGACCTGTGTCCAGATCACGAATCACATACATGTGCCCTGTAAGCATTGTTTCTTTGAAGTTTTTCAAATTGTAATCAGAGGTTAGGTACAGCATTTTTTTCATGCCTGATATTACACACCAAACAAACACAACTGAAAAAAGGGACTAGGTTTGTTTTCTCTATTCTAGAATCACGCTGTCGACTCATTTGCTTCCAGGAGCGCCATGCATAGTGCGCCTGGCTGGAACATCAGACTCTAACACTTCTGGAGAAAGCACGCGCCACCAGCCTGCAGGTCACAAAGGCTGAAGGCAGCACTCATCCAGAGAGGTGCTAACTAGTCGACAGCGCAGCCTCTGGCCAGCGTGGCAGAGAACAAGAAGGACGTTTGCTGGGCTGCAGAAGTCGTTTGAATGGGGGGGTAGCTGAGCTCTCTGCACGCGGGGGCGTTTTCCCGGTCACGCAGAATCCAGCAGAACCTCCCCACTGAGGTCCGGATAGCTGGAAGTGGAAGTGGGGCATGGGGGGGGGGGAGGGCTGTGGCAGTGCCACAGGCCTGTGTTCAAAGCCCAGCTCCCACTGAGTGGTGGCCGTGATGGGGAGTAAACAGAGCCAACACACATCGCTTCTCTTTTCCAATCGAATTTCCATATCTGTATTTTAGACGGGTGCTGCTCCCACACGCTAAGAAGTACCTTTCTCCTTCTCTTAAGCTTTAAACACAGGAAGTAAAAGCCAGAGTGGCTCGGGGTAAAAGCGCTTGCCGCTAAGCCTCACAACTCGAGTTCAGTCCCTGGGACCCCCACGGTGGAAGGGGAGAGCTGACTCCTGCAACCTGTCTTTTGGCTTGTCCATGTACACGCCGGAAATCAGTGTCAAGGCAGTTTTAGTTAGCGTGAAGTATAAGACTGGAGGTCAGGTCTTCCCCGAGCTGCCAGGCAGTGTTGCCCACTCACTGCCACCTTTCTCTGTCCGTGCTCTGCCCGTCACCTGGCTTACATTGTCTGTGACGTGTGGGGAGGTGTGGAGGGGGGCCTGCCACACACACAGTCCAGCTGCCTGGTCTGGAGTCTTGCTGAGCCTGCTCAGAGCATCTTATCCTCACATTTATAACATTCAATGTGTCGTGAGCCCTGCAAATAATCATTGGGCGACTACATGCGAATGGTGGACCTGGTTTGAAAAGGAAGCTGACGACCATCTGTCCACAGTCTGCGGACAGTTTTAGCAACCGTGGGGAGCTTTCCAGGGAAGACCGCAACTGATTCTCAGAACAGGGTGCAGACATCCAAGGGTGGGTTAATGGTGGGCTGGAAAGCTCAGGGTGGGGAGAGGAGCTAGAAGTCAAGAAAACATCGTCAGGATGTTCAGTCAAGTGGATTAAGGAGCAAGGCTGGTGGAGCAGGGCCACATTCCAGGGCCTGTAGATACAGAGAGAGCCCTTCCCTCATGGAGTAGATCCTCCCAAGAAGAAAATGTTTCGGATGTTTTCCCTGACCTGCTCTGCACTAACCACCATGTGTCTGAATGTCCTCATGCAGTGCTGAGGTAGACATGCAGCCTGTGCTAGACACTTACTCCATTTATTTAGAAAAGACCCAAGGGTTCCCAGCCAGGAGGTACACAGAACCGTAACCCTAGCAGTTGGGCCTTGGAGACTGTTACAATCATTACGATGCTTGAAATCTCAGCTCTCAAAGTGATGGAATTAGTCAAGGCCTCTGCGTGATTGGGAATTGGTGAATGGGATTGGTGCCTTTCTGAAAGTTGGAGTCTCATCCACCCTATCTGGGCACAGCAGCAAAGGTGCCATCTGTGGACTAGGAAGGTGGCCCTCTCCACCTCTTGGGCTTTTGAACCTACAGAGCTGTCATTTCTGTGTGTGAGCCACCCAATGTGTGGTGTTTTGTTACAATAGCCCAAACAGAGGAAGACACTTGCCCCTTCTGTTAAGTCAATATACTGGGGCTGGAGAGATGGATCAGTGGTTAAGAGCACTGGCTGCTCTTCCAGAGGACCTGGGTTCAATTCTCAGCACCCATATGACAGCTCACAACTGTCTGTAACTCCAGTTCCAAAGGATCTGGCATATTCAGACATGCAGGCAAAACATCGGTGCACATAAAAAATAAAAAAGGTCAATATACAGAAACAACAATTTCAGGAACTAAGCTTTGAAGAGGCAATGCAGGACAGATGTATGTCCGTGACAAGAAATGCTATTTCGGTCAATGTAAAGAGGTTACATTTCAACAAAGCCTTGGACAGACTGAGGGGACAAACTGAGCAATGGTGTGACAGCAGGAATCAGGGCAGAGCTGGAAGCAGGAAACAACCAAGTTTCCAGAGAAGAGCAGGGAGCAGGCAGAGGTGGGCGGCAGGCTGGAAAGAGCAGAATCAACCCAGGAGAAGCCACCAGGGTAGCACTGAGAAGTGACCCCAGCGGAGTTTGAATGAAGCAAGAAGGCTGCTTGGATCAGATGGCCCTAACACCTTGAGGGAGTTTGTGGCTGGAAGCAGCTCACAAATTGCTGGGATGCTCCATCAGAGTAGACCCTCAAAGACATTCTAAGTAAAGAAGCCAGGCTCAAACAAAGCAACCATTTCGGTGTACGACAGTTCAGTGGTGTGTGGGGTAGAAATAGAGGCTCACTGCTTAGGGATAAAGGGCCACATTCAGGTGGAAGTTGCCCAACCCAGTAAACTGACATCATTGAATCACGCTTCATGAGCGTGCATTTCATGCTATGGAAATTTTGCCTCAGTAAAGATGTCAAACTTTGGTGGTGAAGAGAAAACCAGCGATGTCTTTCTGGATGGGTGTCATCCAGGAGCAGCCTGGGTGTACTGCAATGTCAAGTAAGAAAAGCAGGTGACAGGGAGCAGTGGAGAGAAAAGCTTGCATGTCAGTCGTGTGCTAAGAGGGTCGGGACAGTCTAAGTAGGAGTCCTTACATCGGAGTTCACTTCTCAGGGCAAAGCTCTTCAGCTTCCTCCACTGAGATGGCTCCTTAGCCCAAAAGTCAGCCTGCTGATCCTCGCATTGGCTCCTGCAGACTACTGCCCGGCCGAGGCAGCCAGGAGGCCCAGGGCAGGGCAGGCCCACTCCTGACTGGCTCCATTAAGGCTTAGTAAATGTCCAGGCTTGTATTTTATCTATGGAGCAGGGGGATAATGGGTGGCCATTTTTAGAAATTATCAGTATCAACCTTGGAATTGTAAACAAATACCTCAATGGCAGCAAGTGACTTAGGGAATTGTTCACGAGTTGGCAAATGAAAACAAAACTGTGTTCTAGTTCCTAAGTGCTAAAGGCCTTAGTAAATAATAAGAGGAAGCCCCTAGTCACTGTAACGAGGTGAACCAAGGTTAGTTAACCTGAAGACAAGGTCAGCATCAAGCATAAGTGTAACCAACCACCCGGGTAGACTGCACGAGAAAGGCTAAAGGCAGGTCAACAGCAGGACATGGGGATAGGAACTGGCTTAGCACGTGGTATTTTCCACAGATCCTTGCAAACTGCTTCCCGGAAGTACAGGATACAGAACACATGGCTCCCCCAGCCAGCTCTGCCGCTGCTCTTTCCCGCTGCAGTGGGAACTTCCCTGTGATCCATCAAGACCTGCTAAACTCTAATGACTTTGAGAGTAGAATGGCTGAGGACATCGCCGTCTGGTGCCCCCTGTGCCTTTGAGTTGCCTTTTGCTAGTCTTTGTGAATAGCAGGGTGGTGAGGGGTCGCATGTGGACAGCGGGGTGGTGAGGAGTCACATGTGGACAGCGGGGTGGTGAGGGGTCACGTGTGGACAGCGGGGTGGTGAGGGGTCACGTGTGGACAGCGGGGTGGTGAGGGGTCACGTGTGGACAGCGGGGTGGTGAGAGGTCGCAGCACATGGGTGAAGCTCACTTAGGGTTGACCTGGTAAAGGAACAAACAGCAATGTAGGGAGAGAGGTCCTGGTAAGGTACAGATTCCACAACAGTCGTTATGAAATAG